GATCAATACATCTTGATTGCATGTTTGATCAATTTCAGATTGAAGTTGGTAGAATTCTTCTATTTCATCCTCACTGGCTTTAGTGGTTGGTGCATGAATTTGAATAATAGTGATATTAACTGGGCTTCCCTGTTGTTGTTAGTGCTGTGGAGTTGGTCCCGACCCAATGTGACCCTGTATAGGGTTTCTGAGGAGTAGCTGGTGTGATAGAACAACCAACCTTGCAGTTCAAACGGCTTTGCAGTCTGGCACATTATCCTATCACAGACAGCATTGTACCTCATGACTGATCTACATACGTTCTTTTTGACAATGAATGCAACACCATTCCTCTTCAGTTTGTCATTTCCGGCATAGTAAACCATGTTGTCACCAGATTCTAAATGGCAATACCAGTCCATTTCAGCTCACTAATGCCTAAGATTACTGATGTTTATGCATTCTATTTCATATTTGACAACTTCCAGTTTTCCCAGATTCATAACTTCATACATTCCATGCTCGATTTTCAGTTGATGTTTACAGCTCTTTCTCTTCATTTTGATTTTTGCCCCACCAGCAAGTGAAGGTCCTGTGGGCCTTTCTCTCACGGGCTTTACTCCATTTGCATCATCACGATCAACTCTGCTTTGAGGAGGCAGCTCTTCCCCAGTCGCATTTTGAGTGCCATCTAACCTGAGGGGCTCATTTTCTGGCACTATTATCTGACAGTTTTTCTCTGCTATTCATAAGATTTTCAGTGAATAAATATTCAGAAGCAGTTCGTCACTCCTTCTTCCTAGTCTGTCTTTGTCTGGAAGCTCATCTGAAACCTGTCCACCATGGGTGACCCTGCTGGTATTTAAAATACCGGTGACATAGCTTTCAGAATCATAACAACTCTCAAGCCACCAGAGTACGACAAACTGGCAGACGAGTCGTGGAATACTACTGTTGGTACTAGAATGAAACAATAAGCAGAGTACTCTGTTCTCAAGGAATTTATATTCTGGCTTCTTGTCTTGAAAGTTTGAAAATTGCAAGGAGTGCCTATTAATATTATTGTTTAATTAAATTAAATGTTATTGTCATCGGAGTTATGGTGTTGGAGGAGAATATTGAAAGTGCCATGGGCTGCCAAAAGAACAAACATCTGTGTTGGAAGAAGTGCAACCAGAGTGCTCCTTGGAGGCCAGAATGGCCAAGCTTGATATTTCATATTGTCAGGCGGGACCAGTCACTGGAGAGGGATATCATGTTTGGTAAGGTAGAGGGTCAGAGAAAAAGAGGAAGACCCCCCAGTGAGATGGACTGACAAAGTGGTAGCATCAGTGGGCTCAAGCATAACAGAAGTTGGCCCAGGACCAGGCAGTGTTTCGTTCTGTTGTGCATAGGGTTGCTATGAGTCGATACTGACTCGATTCCTATCCAGAGTTGTATCCTGTGTCTTCAGATGCCCATTGAGCATTCTCACTGGATATCAGTATAGTCAAAGGTGAACTGAATTCCTGCACTGAAAGTCACCATCTCTTACTGGGTTTTCTTTATCCAGTGATCTCACCATTATGTACTCATTTATCCAACTAGCTACCTGCAATTTGCCCTGTATTCAGAACTTCTCTTTATCCACATCCAATCAGTCGCTAAACCCATTGATTTTCTCTCTTAAATATCCTTCGTGGAATTGCCATTGGCCGCATCCAACAAGTGGCTATACTCCGAGACCCCCACGGAGAGATTAAACCAGAGTAGGGGCGACAGGAAATTAGAAAAAAATAAAGACACAAAATGAAAATAGTAAAGTTGGTCCCAGATGGGACACATGACTCTGATGGAGATACTGTGACACAAACCAAGTGCAGCAAGTTTATTATATACACCGCTCAAGGGGAGATGTTTGAGGGAAGGTAAGGAATGCAGGAACATCTTGTGCTGAAAGTGCATGCAGTAAGCAGAACTTTATCAGAAAAACTAACTTGTAGTAGCTATCCGGAACACAGATTGGAGCAGCTAAACGTTTGTGCAGACTGAGCTAAAAGTCATGGCTGTCTGTGTACAAGGACCTGCTTTGCAGATTCCTTTTCCCTTGAGCCCGTTTTGCAGACTCAAGGGGCAGCTAAGCCTGGGTGCAGTCTGATGTCATTAGCCACAGCTGGTAAGGAGCACCTTTGGTGGTCCACAATTAAGGTCATCATGCTTTGCGACAACCAAGAGGTCAGCTGTGTAACCCTCGGTTTAACTGTTCCCAGGCCGTAGACCGTCGGCTCAGTTGCTCCCAACAGCCATTTCCAGATTTTCACTGCCTTAATTTATACCCTTAGAACTGCTGACTTGAACTATTGAAAACACCCTTTTCCTGATTGCCTACCCCTGATCTTTTTATCCTAACTTCCATGATTTTCTTAAAAGACATTATCCTGTTTGTGCCATTTTCCTGCATAACATCCTTGGCTTCATAGCATCAACACCTTTAAAGCGACATATTAGATACTTCATGATCTAACCCACCCTTTATCTCCCACCATACTCCTGTGTTTTGTCCACCTTACGCTAGTAGTTTTCCAGTAGTATACCTTAGGACAAGTCCTTCCATCAGTCTGCTATTGTGAAATTGAAATCCCACATTTTCCTTTTTTTTTTAAATACAGGATTTAGTACTCCCTTAGCACATAGTTGATTCCTGTTTTCCCTAAATATTTCATTCTTTCTTCTTCCTTGGTGCATAGCATATCACACTGTATTTACTTTTTCATATATTTCTCTAATGGAGATTTCAAGTAGCTTTCTATATACTTAAAAGACTTGAACTTAGCCAAATTCATCCTTATTTTGGGAATATGGGAATTTGGAGCATTTCAAAATTTGAACATTCCTTTAGTGCTTTTCATCAATCAACTTGTATTAAACTGAATGTAGATTTATGTCTTTTGTTCTGTGGAGGGAGGAACTGCTTTAGATTTCTTCAATTTTTGGTTATTTTGCCTTTTCAACAAATTTTCTTTTTCATTTTCCTCTAAAATCTTAAGAAGTTTGTAGGTTAAAATACTCATTTTGAGCAGTCATGAATATTCATGCTTCTAATGGTATATATGTAAGTATTTACCCTAAAGACCATTTCTTTGGAGTAACTTAAAATAAAGATGTCTATGTTTATCTATAAACAATGCTATATACAATTTGTTTGCTTTCTAGGGTTCAGCTGCACGAATGGATCATGAAACAGCCAGTGTTTTGAGTTCTAGTAGCACACACTCTGCTCCTCGAAGGCTCACTAGTCATCTGGGAACCAAGGTAACAGAAGTTTACAATCAAGGTTGCTAATACTATACTTTACTAAAACATTCTTCATACCCATTCTAAATTCAACTAGAAGATAATTCTACTGTTACAGAAATGACATCTTTTTTCCACAAAGATTCATTAAAAAAAAAGGGAAAACAAATACATAAAATTGACAGGTTAGCTCATTTTTTTTTTACATTTCCAACCTTATCAACCATTTCTCTACAAGTATCCTAAGGTCCACCTAAACAGGAATACTTGCTGTTTCCTGAACATTCCCTAAGGTTTTCTTCCTCTGTGCCTTGCTTTGGTGACACACACCTGTACTTTCTACTCCACCACACAATGGCTGTCAGAGTCCTTGTCAGCCTTCAGAACTCTTCTTGAGCTTTTCTTCTTTGCAAAACACTTTCTTATCCTCAGCCCCTTACCCTTTGTGTGCTATTTATCTACTCCTTTTGACTTGAAACCCTTTTTGAGAACAGGGAGTTTTATTAAAATCTTTCAATACGTGCTGGCACATATGAGTGTTTAATAATTTGTTGAAATGGCTGAAAAAAGTGTGTTGATATTGAATGTTATCAGATACTGATAAATGAGCACTTCTAGAATATTATAGCAATTAGCAGGACTTAAGAATAGTATGTTTGAAAATAAATTATTTTATTATAGTTTTAAAGCTGGAAATGTTTAATATTATACAAGGGGGCTTCAATAAGTTCATAAAAGAATTCCATTATCTTTTTTTCTTTTAAATAATAATTTTTTTTCTTCCTCCCTATGGATTGCCTTTTACATCTTATTTTTAACAGCTCAACAAAACAAAAATATTTGATGTACACATACAAAAACAAAAAATATGTATTCATTTAAATGTCCTAAGGGCATATTCTGCAAGCCCTTCGGCACACAGCTTTACTCAGTCCATGGGCCTAGAGCCCTCAATTGCTCTGTCTTTCCATGTCACCATCTCTGCCACTATCTCTGCTGTTGACACTTTTCTAGGTAGGAATCGTACACTCCACTCATGCTCTTTCTTCTTAATGGTCTTGGGATCAGTCTGCTCCTGAAATGAAAGATTAACTACTCCCCCTTTTAGTTATAGATGTACTTCAACTACAGTTGTGATAATCACAGTTAATCCTGCTAACAATTACAGTTGAATCATAAAATCCTATCACCGTCATCCCCATCCCTTTTCACCAGATTCATCAGAAGAAAAGGGAAACTAATCATTAGGGATTCTACCTTATCCCCTTCTTTCTGAAACTAAACACACTCATGAAAACTTGTAAGCCAGCTACTTCGTGCCTTTATAGCTCCCCATTTTTGATAGCCAATGTCTAAATTGCTGTCCCTGTCAACCCAGTTCACTGAAGAAACTAGCTTGTTCCTTCATATGAAGAATCTTTCCATTTTGGTTGAAACTTTGAACAACTACATCCATAAGCAAAGGTTCAGTTCATCAAATTGTGGCAATTTATACTTGCTCCCAATATCAAGCATCTATCTTTATATGGTAAAGTTCTGGTCAGCTAGCCAACCAAGCTAAGTCAAATGGTAATAACTGCAAGTTTGGGAGTTCTTACACACCTCCCCTCACTAAAGACCAGCTGGCCGCTTTGCTTTCAGCTCTAGTCCCCAGGAGATAGGTCAGTACCCATGGACTTGGGAGTTCACACACCTTTTAAACTTTAAACCAGTCAACCCTTCCTCTTCCTTCTCTCTTCTGAAGGCCAAAGGGTGTCAAGGAACATGACCAAACTCAGCCCATGTCTTTATTGCTGCATTTCCCCCACTTCGACTCACAAATAGATCAAGATGGTCACCAGTGAGCATACTAGACTCCTCACAGGTTCCCTTTGAGTTTCAGTTTTATAAGGGGATTTTCCCTGATGGGCTGACTTTCCTTGCCTTGATGCCTCCAAAGCGAACAGCTTCCTTAATATTCTAACAACCAACCATCTGTTTGTTTTTGTTTTTCTGCTGGTTTTCTTTCAATAAGCATCTTCTATTATCCAAGCCATTCTGAGTGGGTCTGTATGTGTTTTCAAGTGGAAATGCCTTACCTTAGAAGATTCTGGGTGGGGCTCAGAATTTCACCTAAGGCCCCATCCACCACAAAGGCTTAACAAGAAGCTTATTTCCCTGGGCAAATTCAAATTCCCCTTTTAGTTAATCCAATATATTGTAGGCTGAAGATAGGTTTACAAGCTTTCTGTAATCATAACTCCCAATATGTACTTCTGTCACACTTAAATATCTTTATTACAGTAGTAGACAAAACCAACATCCACAAAACAGTCACGTGCCTAAACATTCCCCCCCCTTTACCCATTTATACTATGTCTTGACCCCTGTCTCACAGAACAGTGTTGTTCCAAAGTTGTGTATAAATCACTATTTACCTCTGTCACCTTTAGCCCAGGCATACCTCCCTAAGTCTTCTGCTGTCTTCATTGGTCACCTGCAACTCTCCCTCTTCTTGTGTATTGCCCTCCCTGTCACCCAAACTAACATGTGTCTACCCCCTAACCAGTGAATTACTGTCCCCTCTCTCCCACCCCTAGTAACCATCAAAAAATGTTTCTTTTGGTAATTTCCAGTATCTGTTAGTTCCATTTTTTTCAGTGAACTTTTTTAAAGCCCCCTTGTACTGACTAAAATGAAATTCTAACATTAAACAATGTAGTTTTCAGTAAAATCTAGATAATTCTGTTGTTTTCAGAACACTCTCTATAATCTTTATTTCATGTAACACAGTGTTGTAACACTGTAGGATAAGCACTGGACTGCTAACCGCAAGGTCAGTGGTTCAAGCCCACCGGTCACTCCTTGGGAATCCTAAACAGAGTCATTGTGAGTCAGAAATGACTCGATGGCTCTTAGGTAAAACATTACTGAAATAACTCTTGTTGATTTAAGAAGTGAGATTTGGAGTACTCAGTGATGCTGTCAATATAAGACTTTATCCTTTTGATAACTCACAGCTACTTCATGGGATTTTTTATATGCTAGGAACTGTGCTAGGAATTTTGTGTACATTTTCTCTAAGCCTCTCAAAAACTCTGTGAGGTATTCTTATCTCTCCCTTATCAAATGAGAAAACAGAAGCAAAAAGGGTTCAAATAGCTATTATGTAATTAAACTAGCATTCAACCCCAGATTTATCCAACATCAATATGTAGTTTTTACTATAAAGAAAATCTCTAATCTTCAACAGCATTGTTGTATGGAAACTAGCAACTAGATTATCATCTCTTTTTGAAGTGATTGGAGTCCTGGTGGCACTGTAGTTAAGCTCTTGGCTACCAAAAAAAGGTCAGTGGTAAGAATTACCAGCAGCTCTGTGGAGGCAGATGTGCAGTCTGCTTCCATAAAGACCACAGCTTTGTAAACATAATGGGGCACCTCTGCTCAGTCCTGTAGGACCACTAAGAATTGCAATTGACTTGACTGCTGCGGGTTTCATTTTTAGTGTGGCTTGAAGTGGTTTATGCATGTACTGCTCTATACATGTATTGTCATTTAATCTTCACAGAAATGAACCAACCTATTAGGTAATTCCACTATTTTATAACATAAAATTGATGCTCAGAAAAATCAAATAACTTACCATTGTCACAGAGCTAGCGAGTGGTGGAATTCAGGTCTGGTGAAAGTCCATTTTTCTGTCGTCTTATACTCCTTCCTAAAATTTTCATATGTATAAGTATATAAAAGAAACAGTGTTTCAGACCTCAACTGGGTAACTTTGGGCATTGTAGGATGTTTAGCAGCATCCCTAGCCTCTACCATATAGATGCCAGTAAGAACCCTTGGTTGTTATGTCAGCCAAGAGTGTCTGTAGATGTTACCAAATGTGTTGTCAGAGCAACATCACCCTCAGTTGAAAACCACTAATTTGTAGAAATGATGAATTATCCTTTATATGTTTAAACTGTACTAGAGCTTTGAAATGAGGCTGACCACAATCCACAGTAACTAGTAGCTGCTTCCTGTTTTCAATCTGCTTCTAAGTAAATCTTTAATTGAATATGTATCGTGGCTTTGTCAGACTCTATATATAACCATAGCATTTGTTTTTTGATGGCAAACATTTTTATATAGACGAGTATAAATTTAACAACATTTTAATTATAATTTGTTGAGAATTAATGATTGCTAAGAACTAGTATTTAGTCAATAATAACCGTTGGAAAGGAGCTTTCTGTTTAATGATAATTGTTGCTGTTAAGTGCCGTCAAGTCAGTTCCGACCCATAGCGACCCTGTATAGGGTGTCTGAGGAACGGCTGGTAAGCCTGAACCACCGACCTTACAGTTCAAACGGGCTTTTTAGTTCAGCACATTAACCTGCAGCGCCACATCAACTATTGATAATAGTTGTAGATTAAAGAAGTAAAATAAAATTGTATGTTGTATAAAAAACTTAGATAAAGTACATTCCTCACTCTGTGTGTGTGTTTGTGTGAAACCATTTGAATTTCACTAGTCAGTGTTTATAACCATTGGATGATGACCACCAACTTGATCTAGACAAACAGCAATTTCAGTATGCAAAAACCTGCTTTCCCTTTAACCATTGTATATTATCACTGTACTGTTTACTCACATAAATGACTATAATTACATGGATTTTGAAGTAACACTCATTGTTTCATCTTGGAAAGGTGGGGTGATTTTTTGTTTTTGTGTTTCTTAATGAGTTACAATAAGTATCCCATTCATCACTTCATTGGTATTGGCTTTTAGATATTAAAGTCATAATTTTGTTTCTAAACTCATTTGGCCCACAGGTGGAAATGGTGTATTCATTGTTGTCAATGCTTGGTACTCATGATAAGGATGATATGTCACGAACTTTGCTAGCTATGTCTAGCTCCCAAGACAGCTGTATATCCATGCGACAGTCTGGATGTCTTCCTCTCCTCATCCAGCTTTTACATGGCAATGACAAAGACTCTGTATTGTTGGGAAATTCCCGGGGCAGTAAAGAGGCTCGGGCCAGGGCCAGTGCAGCACTCCACAACATCATTCACTCACAGCCTGATGACAAGAGAGGCAGGCGTGAAATCCGAGTCCTTCATCTTTTGGAACAGATACGAGCTTACTGTGAAACCTGTTGGGAGTGGCAGGAAGCCCATGAACAAGGCATGGACCAGGACAAAAACCCAAGTATGTTTTCTATAGTGTACATCATAGTGCATGTTACAAAGCAAATGTAAAATCTTTAGAAGACTTTGCTATTAGCGTCTTGTCATAAGTGGTGGTGGCTGTGTGCCGTGGAGTCGGTTCCGACTCATAGTGACCCTGCATAGGGTTTCCAAGTAAATGGGGTAAATTCATACTAGCTATCTTTCCTGCCATTTGGAGTTTAAAGTTAAGGCTCAGTTCCCTTAGAAAAATTTAGTAAAGAAAAATGTTGTAGGCTCCACTAAGCAACCAGGAAAGGGATGAAAATCAAGAGTGGCTTCTGAAACCATAGCATAATAGAGCTAGAAAGAATTTGAGCAATTATGTTGCCTATCTCCTTCATTTTTTAGATGAAGAAGGTCATAAAATGACTATACATAATAGTTGCTAGATTATAGTGACCAAACCATAACACTGTGTACTTATATATCACTCTGCTTAGTTGACACAAAACTGCATTATATCTGCTATATTATTTGATCTTCAAAATAGCCTTATTAAGTAAGGAAGAAAGATTTTATCATTTCCATTTTACAGATGAAGAAACTGAGGCTCAGAGAGGCTAAAAGATTTGTTCATGAGCTCACAGTTAGTACGTGGTGGAGCCAGGAACAGTGGCCAGATTCCTCAGCTTAGGGCTTTACTTACTGCAACATTCCTGCTCCAGTTGCTGGGCCCCAGTTTATGGGGATGCTAAACCACCCAGCTCTTTAATCAGGGAAAAAAACCTTGCCCACCAGCCCCTCTCCCTCAGGAGCAGGAGAACTGAGACCCTGGGGAGCATAACTTACATCATTCCTGTAATGAACAGCCAAAAGCAGTAAGTATGTAAGGTAAGGCTTTCCTTTCACCTGACAAGAATGTGGCCATTCTAATTGAATACCTTAAATCTAAAAGTGGATTTAATTAACATTTTTCATTATTTTACCTTGAAATCTCATTGGCATTCTAGGGGGAATTCAAAGATAAATAGAAACACAACACAAGGCCAACCTGTTGACTTAAGGGGTGTTGGTGCCAATATGGTTTATGAAGCAATCATATAAATGTCTGTTATAAGTTTAGATATAAGGACTAATTTATTTACAATCTAAAAATTTTCAAAAAGAAAGCAGAGATGTATAATCCTTGGTGATGGAGAAATTTACAGATGTCCTAACGATGAGAACTTTTAAGATACTTCATTGAGAGGAGGACACTGCCCTTCTGGATTTTTGTCTATCCACAATTATATAATGATCCTCAATTTTGTACTCTTTCTTTTTCTTTTTTTTTTCCTTTTGAAACTTACTGTGATTTGAGTGAAGATTTACATAGCACATCATCAGTTTCTTGTTAAGTGTCATTCAGCGCATTGACCTGCAGCACCATACCAGGACTCCAGTATCATCAGTTTAGTATTCAACAAATCATATGCTTTGTTTCATCTCAAAGATTGCAATCTCCTCCATTTCCCACTTCCTGTGATTCTTTCTTCCATTCCACCCTCTTTCCCATCCCTTCTGAACTTTTTTTTTAGATCAGTGTTGCCCCTTTGCTCTTGAATGATTGACCATTCCATAGTAAGCATACCTTACTAATATTGTTGTTCCCCCTCCCCCCCCCAATATACTTCTCTGCTGCCTGACTGAAAATTAGGCCACAAGGGTGAATTCAGTTCCAGAACTAAAAGGTGGCCAAGGGCCATAATCTGGGGTTCCTCCAGTCTCTTTCTGACCAGTAAGCCATGTCTTCTGTATATTCTTGAGTTTTATTTTACCTTTTCTCCCATTCTATCCTGGACTTTCTAATGTGATCCTTTTCAGAGCAGTTGGTAGTAGCTGGGACATTTTGTATTCTTGATGCCAGTTCTCAAGTAGTAAGCAGCATAAATTCATATTACTACTGAACATAAACTTTTTTTTTTTTTTACTTCAAATATGAGTTTTGAAGCCTTGTGTATGGTATCATATGTGGAGATACCTTTTGTTAGACACCTTTTTCTTTAAATTTTGCTATTTATATCTTCTTATACAGTAAACTTCTGGTATGGCTCTGTAGGGTCAGCTCTGAACTGCAAACCACACAGTCAATGGTTCAAACCCACCAGCTGCTCCTTGGAAACCCTATACAGGGTCGCTTTGAGTCAAAACCGTCTCAATGACACTTAACAGCAACAACAAATACAGCAAACTGCCTCTATTAGGTATTATGTTTGTACATAGCCATGTGCTGTTGAGCCACTTAGGACAGCAGTGTAAATAGCAAGTGTAAGCTAAGTTTTATACCAGTGTTTTTTATTCACTCAGTCAACATAAAATTTAAATATTAGTTGTTTAAGTCAGAGCATATTCTAACAAACTTGATCAAGGGCAGATGAATACTAAAAACGTTATAGAACCAAGAAAAAGCCCTATTTTCTGTTCTATGTTTTGTAATATTTATTCATTCATTCAACAAATATGTGCTGATCCTTTAAATTACTGTATGTTAGGGGCATATTAGTCACCCCTGTATCTTTTTAAGTATATTATCATAATTGCTTTTGAGAACAAGGCATTATGATATGGGTAAATTTTATTTTTCAGTGCCAGCTCCTGTTGAGCATCAGATCTGTCCTGCTGTGTGTGTGCTAATGAAACTTTCATTTGATGAAGAGCACAGGCATGCAATGAATGAACTCGGTAAGATAAAAATGTTTCTTAATGTCATAAAAGAATACTGGTTGGTTTTTAAATCATGGTGGCAAGTCTTTAAAATAAATATAAGAGTCTTAATCATTGATGAACAGGGATATAAGGTTACTATTATTACTAGTTGCTTTCCCCTTGTAGCAGATGATACCTTACTTTTAAGAGGAGAAAGAATCCTAAATCACAGTAATGCTACCCTGTTATAAACTAAATTGGACTTCTCAAAGTCTTTGCCAAAGATTGAAAACATTATATGGGCCATTCCTTGTCCCTATTGCCAAGATAGACCCTCTCTGACAGTTGACAGGGAAATGTAAGAGCACCTTCGTTTTTTGCAGAATTTAGTAGCTTCTGATTAACACCTAGAGGACTTTTTATTAAGATTATCTTATTAAGTTATATCTTCATGGTTATTACTACTTTACTGGATTTTCATGATGGTATAACATGATAACTTTGAAAGTAGTTAATATAGAAAAATATTATGAGCAGTTTAAATTAGAAACATTCCATTAGTACTGAAAGGATTACTCTTAGGTACATGTCTGTCACACACTCAAAACCTTATATAACTTCCATTTATGCACCTCATTTTTCATGTAATGACTTTAGTTTGATTTCTCGGTTCATTTTGCACATGTGGCATTTGTAAATTGCATCATGCTGAGCCATCTCATATGAACTGGATCTCTCTAGTCATGCCGCAGACAAGAAGCATACACTGCATTTCCATCTTTGCGTAACTGTGCCCTTGCTTTTTGTGCTGTTTATGTGACATTTTGCACTCCAGTCCCACTTGATATTCCTACCACTTCATCATTGTCATTCAGAGAACCTAAACAGCCAACAACGAGTGTTGTCTCCTTCAGAGTCATCACTTTGGGATTTCAGGCCTGCCCTACAGCCATCTTTTTCTTCCCACAGGCCAAAACAGTTGCCCATCTGATTCTTTTTCCTCCCAGTCCTTCTGTGGAACAGAGTATAATCTTAAAAGTTTTCCCTTCCTCAGTATGATCCCACCATTTCTGAAAAGTTGTTATTTTGGTTTTGTTTTTTTAATGATAGTAATAATGGGAATGGGAGGGCTTAAAAGTAATAAACAGGAAAATTAATCCAATTTTAAGACACTACCAAAGTTTTTGCATAATGTCCCTGTGTTCCAATGGAATGTAGACTAGGACTGACACAATAATCATCTGGATTTGAAAGTAAAACCTAGACTCAGTATTTGTTCCTCTTCCTTCTTCAGGTAGGAAGGCTACCCGGGGCATTTCATCACAGGAGCTAGGGCAGGGGCTTTCAGGTGAGGAGCAGGCTGGGGCCTATGGGGGTGTGAATGCTGGGGACATAGACAAGGGGAATTAACTTCTCACTCCTAGCCTCCAAATTTGGACTGGGACAAAGGGAGGATCAAGGTTTGCATATTGGGGGGATAATAGCATATGACAGTACAAGGTATCTGGCAGCAAGAGATAAGGAGGAAAGAAGTCCCTTTCCAAAGGGTAAAGGGAAATTCCTAAGCTTCCTTAGCTGGGATTGTCATTTGTACATATGTGAGGGGTCTTCAAACAGTTTGTGGAAAAATGGAATCAGAAAGATAATGGAATTTTTTTTCACAAACTCTGAAACCCCCTCATATATGAAGATTATATAACTGTCAGAGTCTCTTCAGTTTACACCTATTAGTATTGGAGCTTTTCAACTGTAATATCAATGACCTATATTTATTAATTCCCAACTCTACCCTGGAAACTGTGCTAGGTACTAGATATAAAAATGATTAAGATACAGTTCTGGCTTTCAAGGAACTCATGGTGATTCTGCATTGTTGTTGCAAAGTGCCATTGAGTCAGTTCTGACACATAACGACCCTGTATAGGGTTTCCAAGGAGCACCTGTTGAGCTTGAACCACTGACCTTGCGGTTCAGACTAACTGTGCAGTCCAGCACGCTAACCCACAGCGCCACACCAGGACTCCACATTCTGCATTAGTGTTTCCTAAACCAGATCATAACAATCACCAGAGGCACTTGTCAAAGCATATCATTTCTCTGGCTCTGCACCAGGCTTAGTAAAGCAGGATCTCCAAGAGAGGGTCCTGGGAATCATGTTTATTGAGTGACACAAGTGATTCTTAAGATCAGGAAATTTTGTGAAACACTAACCAATAGAATATTGATGTTGGGCCCCTAATAAGTTATTTTAGAACAAGGCAATTCATGCTAATAGTACTCTTTAAACCAAGTGAAACAAAAATAAGAAAACTTTTTAACATTAGGTTTCATCTCTTTATCTTTTTTAGTAAGATACTAAATTAAGTGTGCTGTTGAATGTCCCTTGAGGAAGTTGGTTCTCTACTTTTCATAAGGCTATGGATGCCATATTAAATAACACTTTGGTCCATCTACATCATTATTTTCTAACGTAGACACATAAAAATATAGAAGGACATATTCATTGTCTTTGGGTTATCTGGAAACAACCTAATTATTTTTAGGATAACTTATTTTTAAACCTATTATATTTTTATGAATCCATTTCTAGTTTTAACCTATGAATTATATTCTCTGCCTGATAATTCACTTAAATCTTATTTGCCCAAAATCTTAAAGGGCTTTCCCTTTTATCTATGTTATATAAAATTTTATTGAATGTTCTTTTTTTTCTTTAACCATGTTCTTCATAATCTTGTAGACATCCACCATATTCTTGTGTAATCTTTGTTTTCCAAGTCAAGTCTAAAAGTTTTTACTTATTCAAACAGTAGTAGTCAGCTCTTTGATCATTTAATGCCTTCTTGAAACCTGTTTAGATGCATCTTAAAGTATTCCTAGTCTTGCTATACCCGGCATGCAAAGATTTTATGCAGGTACAAAACACAGAATGTTTTGTTTTTATATGATACTCTGCTTTATAATGTTTGGCATTTTGGTAGTTTCATTAGATCTCATCAGTACAGTAACTCTACAGAGACTCCCAGGAAAATTTCCTGAATAAGATTCTCAGTTCTTTCATTGGCTTTTTTCTCTTTCACCCAGCTGTTAAATGATTAGATTCCTTTAAACTCTGCTTTAGACTCTCTCCTCTCTGTTTCTCTCTCTCTTTCCCTAGGCAATATCATCAACTCTTAGGCTTTAGTTAAAGTATTTTTCAAATCCTGTCCTAAATTTTAGAAATCAAACTGCTTTCCTGACATCTTTACTCAGATGATTCTTCAAACACTTCTAATTCAACGGTCACAAGCTGATTTCCTCGCTCCCATCCTCAAATCTATATCATCTAGGGTTTCTTTTCTCAGAAAAGTGGCCAACTAATCAACCCAGTTGCTCAAACCAGAATTTTGGAAGTCAGCCCTGATTCCATATTTATCCACTACATCTGATATCAGAGTACCATAGTTCTGCTTCTTAAAATATATCTAAATCACTATCCTTCTTTTCATCTTCAGTCCAAGCCACTATCGCCCTTCCTATTATGCTTTACGTATCTTACTTGGCTGGCCATTTTGAAGCATATTCTGTTTTATACATTGCAATCATACTAGCCTGTTTAGAGTGACATGTCATTATTTCTTCCCTTGCCGAAAATCCTTAATGTGGCACATAAGGTCTTACATGATCTGCCCCCTGCCCATTTCTGTAGCCTTGTTTTGTGGTCTTCTCCTTCTTGTTGTTAAGTGCTGTCGAGTCAATTCCGCCTCATAGCAACCCTGTATAGAGTTTCCAAGGAACAGCTGGTGAGTTTGAACCACCAGCCTCACAGTTCAAACTGACCTTGCAGTCTAGTGCACTATCACACAGTATTGCTATACAAATACTTTGCTTGGGGCCCTTGCCCCACTCCCTTTAAATACTCATTTATTCCTGTGTTTTTTTCCTTATCCCTCAAACTGGGGCAAGTTCCCCTGTTATCTCGACAATCTGTCACATTTAAATTTGTTCTTTTTGTTCTAATTTGTAGGTTCTTTAAAGACTGTGACTAAATCTTATTCATGGACTATATATAGATCGGTGGATGGATGAATATCTTCTAAAATATGACTTGAATTTTTCTTAAAAATTAATTTTCACTTGTCTACATTCAAACTGTGCTCCTCGGAAATCCTATACAGGGTCGCTGTGGGTTGGAACCGACTCGACGGCACTTAACAACAACAACATTCAAACTGTGTCATTTTTGCTAGTTAGATAACCTTCCAAAAGTCTTCCTATAGTTAAATCCCATGGCCAAGAACCCTTTCCCCAAAGTGGAACACTGTCTCATTTACAAACTTGCTGGTTGCTCTGCATACTGACCCTTCTAGATCATTTATTATTATTACATGTATAGGTTCTCTTTTAGATTAATGACCTGACTGTTTAAACTACCAGAGTCTAAAAATTTCCTGTTTTATTTATATTCATTCTCCTTTTTTATTTTCTGTCTAAGCCACTTCTCTGTGACAAAACAATATCCCCATTTCCACAATGATTCGGTAGTTTTAATAACCTCCATATGCATTTTTCTTTTTGTTCATGCCATCATTTTGCTTTGCCTTCCTCCCCACGCCCACCCCTTTATGTCTTTCCTTTTCCTTTCCCTTTAGTTTTCTTCTTACCTTTTTAGTATTGACCACTGTGCGCACAGGTGAACATATCAAGTGTTATCAGGGTGTAAGATTGACAGAAAATACAAAAGCATAATACAGTTCGCATTTTATATGAGTGACTATCAAAGAAGTAAGAAATTTTTTAAATAAATCATTTTATAAAGCTTAGTAATAAGTTGGATAGGTCTTTTTCTTAAAAAAAAGAAAAAGAATTTTGCTTTGCTTTATGCACAGTTTCACTTAAAAGTTCCATTGTTCCTAAAGGTAATTCTTTGGCAGATAAAAACTATTAAGATCACTGTGTGTGATAATGATGAGCATAAAGTTTTAGTAGTTAAAGTAGGTGGTTGTTTTTGTTTATTTTCAGGAAGAACTAAGTTCACCTTAGAAAAAATAACCTCTTTTGTTGGCAAGTTACAGTGTATGGAGGGTGGAGAGTTTCAGGCAGAAAATGGAATAGTTGTCAGTTTTACTTCATAATATACAAAAATCCTTCATAATAATTTGTGTGGCTTTTAATTCTAAAGGCACATTTAAACCATATATTCTCATTCTTTGAGGATTTTTTGTTTTTATTCCTGATACTTGTTACCACCTTGGTACCAGTTTGTTTTACTTTAGATTTCCTGTTTTTCTCTTGCCCTTTTTAAACTAGGGGGACTACAGGCCATTGCAGAATTATTGCAAGTGGACTGTGAAATGTATGGGCTTACTAATGACCACTACAGTATTACATTAAGACGATATGCTGGAATGGCTTTGACAAACCTAACTTTTGGAGATGTAGCCAATAAGGTATGTTCTTTATAAAATCCAGTTCTTAAAATATCTCAGGTATGAGTTAATTTCTTATAAAGTACTTTTCTGATTTCCTGTCTGTCCTTCTCTCTATTAAGTACTAACAAAAACCTGTACTTCACATCACACTGCATAGCCCTACTCATTCAGTTATCTTTTAATACCTAAACAAAAGCCAAAACACAATTACAGAAGGAACACAGTAGTGAATTTGTCTTATGTAATTGTATTAAAAACATTGTTGTTAGGAATGAGAGCAAAAGCTGGAAAATCCTGCCTACCAAGCAAGTATTCCACACACCTGGCTCCATACAAATTAGAGGCCTTACTTTAAAAACCTTTGCTTGTCATTCTTATCATTTGTTCGCTTTATTTTCCAATTTGGCAAGGGAAGACCAGCTAGCAAAGGCTTGAGAGAGGGTATTTGTCTTTCATATATGTGACCTGGTTCTATGTATCTTTTATGGGTAAAATATTAGTTATGATTAAATGAAATAATTAAAACTAGGTTTGAAGTAATAATAAAGAACAGCTTCCAGTTGTCTCTGTGGTGATCCTCTGCTCTGTATTTAATTTCACAGGCAACTTTGTGCTCTATGAAAGGCTGCATGAGAGCGCTGGTGGCTCAACTGAAATCTGAAAGTGAAGACTTGCAGCAGGTACTACTTAGAATTTCAATTGTTTTCCTATCCATTAGCAAGTTATTGTTCTGATTTAGACTAATTTAATCTATGACTCATTATTTAGTATAACATGTATAAATTATGGTTACATTAACGCCAGAATAAAGGAAAATACTTAGATTGTAGGAATTCATTTGCTTCACATTAACATTTAAGGTAAAATTCTTTATTAATAGATTTCTACTCTTACCTCTAGGCTAAAGTACTAAGAAAAGGAACTAATATGAATCATTTTATGTATCCATTGTTCTAAAATTGATTAACTTACAGGTTATTGCAAGTGTTTTAAGAAACTTGTCCTGGCGAGCAGATGTAAATAGTAAAAAGACATTGCGTGAAGTTGGAAGTGTGAAAGCATTGATGGAATGTGCATTGGAAGTTAAAAAGGTACCTTTGAAAACATTTAGTACTGTGATACGGATTTTATGTTTCTCTACTTTTTTTCTGCCCTCTTCCACCCATGAGATTCCCTAATGGCCTACCTGCTCATCTCACTAGCCCTTAGTCTTTGAGTAGTCCAAACCCCTGAAATATTAAGATGGAAACGATTGTGCAGTGTGGCTTAGTCTAAATCAGAGGTTAGCAGTCTCAGCACTATTGCCATTTCTGTGTTGTGGGAGCTAAAGTGTGCATTGCAGCATCCCTGGCCTGTAACCATTAGGTCCCTCTGCCCCTGCAAGTTGTGTTGATCAAAAATATCTCCGGGTATTACCAAATACTCCCCAAGAGGAACTGGGACATAGAATCATCCCCAGTTGAGAATTGCTTGCATATTATGTCTACTCATTCCACATTTCAATCCCCCAAAGACCTAAAATTTTGATGGCTAGTTAACAAAAAATAATCAGACTCAAGGATGAGGGAATCCCCAAATAATAATTTGTGTACAGAAGGAATATCTCTAGGAGGAATAATCTACTTCAGAAACTGAACTAATTTTAAAAAAATAAACTTGAAATCTAAAAGGGACCAAAAAAAGTCTGTTTAACTAGTCTGGACTTTTTTCACCTTAACAGTCCTCCTGGAGTTCTAGTATGGCACTGTAGGATAAACACTGCACTGTTTACCACAAGGTCAGTGGTTCAAACCAACCACCTGCTCCTTGGAAACTTTCTAATGGGTTGCTGTGAGTCAAAACCAACTCGATGGCACTCAGCAACAGTAGTCCTCCTGACCCCACAGCCTATGGTTTTTCTTCGAAATTTGTCAGAGAAATCAAGGATTTTGTTTTTGTTTGCCTACTTATTGGTGCATTTTGACAAATTACAAGTGTAAAACCCAAGAATATCAACTAGAAATTACTGTGAATAAGAAATGTATTCAACAGTGGCTAGTTTTAATCCCGCCCCTCCATACACAGAGTAGACAGGGATGGGCAACTTGAACATTGGCTATGCAAAGTGGGGTGGGGGGGGAGCTACAGAGGCAAGAAGTGACTGGCTTACACGCTTTCAAGAGGGAACCTAGATCCAGAGGGTGTGGAGGAAGGTAGATTCTCCACTGAGTAGTATCCAATATGTCTAGGCAGGACTGATGAAAGGACATGTGGATAGGTCTCTTTTGGTACAATAGTGAATAATTGTTATCAGTACTGATTGTGAGGGTTGGAAATGTAAAGGTAGACGTTTTGTAGCAAGGATTGACTTTGCAGTCTAGGAGCAGAGGTCCCTGGGATCATCAAGGAGGAAGAGCAGAGAGTGGAACCCTACCGAGAGAGGCAGTGACGCCAGAGATAGAGGCAGAGACAATGACGTGGAGAGATGGAGCAGCTGGGGACTTTAGACCCAGAGAGGGAAGTGGCTGTGTGCTGACGACCAGGGGCAGGCTTGCAGGGTATATCCTTTGATTGGTTGATGATGCATGGAGGGGATTGTAACTAATGTTCTCCCATATAAACTATCACAGAATTGACAATAAAACATTTTTTTAAAATGTGACTAGTTTTAAAGAGAATTTTCAAATATACTTAAAGCTTCCATAAAGATAACTTTACGCCATTGCTAAATGGGCAGAAGATTTAAACTGACATTTCAGTGAAGAAGATAGGTTGTTGGTAAGTGCTGTCGAGTCGGTTCAAACTCACATTGACCCTGTATAGGGTTTCCAAGGAGCAACTGGTGAGTTTGAATCAGCAGCCTTGCAGTTAACAGTACATTGCTTATCCTGCAGCATCACACCTGGATTCTAAAGATGCATAAGAGGCCAGTAAGTATATGCTAAAAGCAAAATACTCAAGATTATTGGTCATCATGAAAATTCAAATTAAAGCTATAGTAAGATACTATAAAAGCTTTGGTACTGTTTAACATTTTAAGTATTGGCCAAGTGTTGGCAAGGATGTGGAGCAACTGGAACTCTGTTTTGTGTTGTTGTCATTAGGTGTCGGCAATTCGGTTCCAACTCAGCAACCCTACATACAACAGAACGAAACCTTGCCTTATCCTATGCCATACTTACAAGTGTTATTGTGTCTGAGCCCATGGTTGTTCCTGCTGTATCAAGCCATGTCATTGGTGGTCTTCCTCTTTTTGGTTAACGTTCCACTTTACCAATCATGATGTTTTTCTTCAGGAACTGCTGCTTCTTGACAACATTTACGAAGTACAAGAGACAAAATATCATTATTATTTTTTCTTCTAAGGAGTCATCCAGCCATATTTCTTCCAAAACAGATATGTTTGTTCTTGTGGCAGTCTATGGCACTTTCAGTATTCTTCATCAACACTATAATTCGTATGTATCAATTTCTCTCTGGTCTTCCTATACCTTGTCCAGCTTTCACATGCATATGAGGTGTTTGAAAATACCATGGCATCGATCAGGCACATTTTAATCCTGAAAGTGGAACTCTTTGCTCTTTAAGTCTTTAAAGAGGTATTTTGCAGCAAATTTACCAAACACAACACATTTGATTTCTTAACTGCTGCTTTCATGAGCTTTGATCATGAATTGAAGTAAAATCAAACCTTTGACAACTTTAACCTTTTTTTCCATTATCATGATGTTATTTATTAGTCCAGTTGTGAGCATTTCATTTTCTTTACATTGAGGTGCAATCCATACTGAAGACTGTAGTCTTTGATTTTGTCAGTGTCTTTACTTTCAGCAAGCAAGGTTGTGTCATCTGCATATTGTGGACTGTTCATGAGTCTTTTTCCAGTCCTGATGGCATATTCTTTATTATGGAATGCAGCTTCTCAGATTATTTACTCAACATACAGATTGAATAAGTATGGTGAAAGCATACAAGGCTGATGCACACCTTTACTGATTTGAAACCATTCAGTGTCTTCTTGTTCTGTTCAAACAACTACCTCTTGGTCTTTGTAGAGATTCCTTATGATCATAATTATGTTCTGGAATTCCTCTGCTTTGCAGTATTATCCATATTGTTATGATCTACGTAGCCTTTGCATAGTCAACAAATCACAAGTGAACATCGTTCTGGTATTCTCTGCTTTGAGCCAAGATCCATCTGACATCAGTGGGTGGTATCTCTCCTTTCATGTTCTCTATTGAATCTGGCTTGGATTTCTGGCCTTACCCTGTCAGTGTACTGCTACAACCATTTCTTGAGTTATCTTAAGCAAAATTTCACTTGCATGTAATATTAACGATACTATTCTATAATTTCCACATTCCATTGCGCCACTTCTCTTTGGAATGGTCATAAATATGAATCTGTTCCAATCAGTTGGCCAAAGAGCTGTCTTCCAGATTTCTTGGTGTAGAATAGTGTGCACCTCTTGCATTTCATCAGTTTGTTAAAACATTTTAACTTGTATTCCATCAGTTACTGAAGCTGTGTTGTTGTTTTTTGCCAGTGCTTCCTTGGACTTTTTCCTTCACCAGTGCAGCCTGGACTTCTTCCTTCAGTGCTATTGGTTCATGTTGTATGGTACCTCCTGAAATGGTTAAACAGTGACCATTTATTTTGGTACTATGCTTCTGTGTTTCTTCCATCTTTACTTGATGCTTCCTAGGTCATTTAGTATTTTGTCTATGTTGTTGTTAAGCACTATCGAGTCAGTTCCAACACACAGCAACCCTGTATTGGGTTTCCAAGGAGCATCTGATGGGTTTGAACACATCGAATCCTTCAGTATTGCGATTCAAAATTTTTCTTCATTTCTTTCAGTTTGGGAAATGTTGAGAAGGTTCTTCCCTTTGGATTTTCTGACTCCAGGTCTTTAAACATTTCATTATAATACTTTGTCTTTTCATGCTTCCCTTTGAAATTTTCTCTTCAGCTCTTTTACTTCATTTATTCCTCGTTATTTTAACGACTCTACATTCAACAGCAAGTCTCAGAGTGTCTTTTGACATCCATTTTGGTCTTTTCTGTCTTTGTAATGACCTTTTTTGCTTTCTTTCAAGTACGATGTACTTGTTGTCATCCCACAACTCTTCTGGTATTCAGTTATCTAATGCATCAAATATTGTCCTGAAATTATCTCTAAATTTAGGTGGAATATACTAAGGATCATATTTTGGCTCTGTTGGACTTGTGTTGATTTTCTTCAGCTTAATCCTGAACTTGCATATGAGCAGTTGGTGGTCTTTTCCACAGTCATTCCCTGCCCTTGTTTCGGCTGATGATACGGAGCTTTTCCATCATCTCTTCCCACAGATGTAGTCAATTTAGTTCTTGTATATTCCATCTAGTGAGTTCCATGAGTATGGTGGTGTATCGTGGAGTTGGTTCCAACTTATAGCAACCCTGAATAGGGTTTACAAGAGCAGAAAGCCTCATCTTTCCCCCACAGAATGGCTGGTAATTTCAAACTGCTGACCTCGAGGTTAACAGATTTATAACCCACTACGCTGCCAAAGCTCCTTGTGTATGGTCAACCTTTTATGATGTTGAAAAAGGTATTTGAAATCAATGAGTTGTTGGTCTTCAAAAATTCTATTCAGTAACCAAGGCCATATTTTCAACTACTGATTCTTCCTCTTTGTGTCCAACTTTCACATCCCAATTACCAGTAATTTTATCAATGCACCTTGATAGTGATTGCATGTTTGATCAATTTCAAAATGAAGAAGTTGATAGAATTAATCAATTTTGTCATCATTGGCTTTAGTGTTGGTGGGTAAATTTGGGTAATAGTGGTATTAACTGGTCTACTTTATAGGCATATGAATATTTTCCTATCACAGACAGCATTATTTTGAGGATGACTTTGACGCCATTCCTGTTGAATTTGTCATTCCCAGCATAGTAAACCATATGACTGTCCGACTCAAAATGGTGAATACTAGCCTACAACTATCTGTCTTTTTGAAGGATTATCACGAGTCTCATTCTTATAAGATGGAAATTAAAGACATCCCAGATGTCTGACTTCCCTAAAGTGCTATGATGTGAAGTGCCATCGAGTCAGTTT